TTATCTTAATTAATCTTATTAAATTTTAATCATTTTTTTTTATTCAATCTTTATTTATCATCATTCATTTTATATTAGCCACAGGCTGCTGGTCAAATGCCACAAACTCAACAACAGTCTTATACGCCGGCTGCTCTTGGTCTACAATATAATCAGTACGGCGGATTATCAAGTAATATGGCTCTTGGTACTCCCGGTGGAATTGCTCCATCATATATGCCCACTGCTAACAGTTATCCTCAATATAATCAACAACATTTGGCTCAACAATATGCTCAAAATAATTACATGCAATCAGCCTATTGGAACCAAACAGCCGGAGGAAACAACGCTGCAAGTGGCAAGGTGCAGTATCCTACTCAATCATCTGAAAAGAAATAATGGACGATTTTATCTTTCATAATGCGATGATTAGAGTGTTCGCACCCAAAGTTTCCTGTGATGGCTCGACCTTTTTTCTATCCTTATTTCTTATGAAATATGGATCTGTATAGCTTCAATTGATTTATGTATAATTTTCTTCAATTTATTTTTTGTATCTTTAAAGGTCGTTTAGCCAATTTCATTTGATATGTAAATTGGATTTCGAGTGACCGTCACGTGGTTTTGGATTTGTCGATTTTTTTTGCAAATTTTTCTGGGCTGCTGAAAGAGGACCAGTGTTAATTATTAATAGTTAATAAATTATTGATGACTATTAGCCGTATGAATTTAAGAAGAGAATCTAAAGTCACGGATCGATGACGCAAAAAAAGTATTACAATTTTTTTTCTTCTACTAAATGTCATAGTATTAAAATATTAGTCTTCTTTTTTTTTTCTTTTTCTTTTCTTGGTTTCTTTTTTTTTCAAACAGATGATGAACGCTATATAATTAATTAATGGCTTCATTATAGTATATATATATATATATAGTACATAATACCTTTTTTTGTTTTTTTCTTTTTTTTTTATTCTAGTAGTTGAGGAAAAATGATTCTTGTTGAACCGGGAATCGATTTATATATATATTATTTAGTTTTGTAGTGGTATTTTAGAAAAAAAATTTTTGAAGTTGGTTAGTTAAAAATTTTGCGTATATATGTATACATATCTATATATATAACTATATATATACGCACACACACATATTTCATAAATAAATACATAAAAATTTTTTTTCTTAAAAACATTAAAAAATGGTTGTCTAATATATGTTTATATGTTTGAAATGTTTGTCTAATATTTTAATATGTACATACGTACGTACGTACGTATCTTATGTTTAAATATTTTAATAACGATAACAGATAATTGTTTAAGTATTTAAATAACTATAACAGATAATTGTTTATGTAGGATTACACCCTATATACCTTAAATCAAGTATTTTGTTCATACACGAGTATACACGAGTCAATTTATTTAGGTAATTTCAATCTGGTAGTGATTTACAAGAATTAGAGTTTCATTCATTATATCAAGTACCGGTTCATTTAAGTCGATTTAAGTTGGTAGATTTTCTTTAATGCTTATTTGTGTATGTACGTACGTTGCCTAGTTTAGATGACTCTTGATACTAAAGAAGTAATTTGTAGATTATACGTACACGTCTATCTTAATTGTAAAGTATTATATAACTCATTAAACGCCACATTTAGAAGCATAAGAAGTAATGATAAGTTTTAAGCAAACAAAATTATTGCTTTTTTTCTTTTTAATTCTACTGTTTAAAAAATTGTATAATTGGTCGAAAATTTTTAATTTTTCATTATGGCGGATAGCAAATACTATATTTATCATATATTTATGAAATAATTAAAGAAATGATTTATTAAGATTATTAAGATTATTAAGCAAAGGAAGAGAATTGAACGAGGAAAGTATATAATAAAGT